TGAAGTTATAACACGTGGAAGCAAAATGTATGACAACAGCATGAGGACAGGAGAAGGAAATAGGAGTATATTAGTGTTCTTGTATTTTATGTAAAGTAGCAAAATATTATTTGAAGGTGGGCTATAGTAAGCTCAAAATGCATTATATTAATTTTAAACCAACGAGCAAAAAAAAATCAATATATGTATGCACATGTATTTGTGTGCATATATAAAAAAATAGAGAAAGTATGTTTCAGTATTTTAGAAATACATATATTCCTATATATGCCAGACACTACAATTCAAGAAATCTTTATGTCTTGGTTTGCTGTTTCATTTTTCTAATAATATATTTTTACCACATATATATATTTATATAGGTATATATTTTTATATAGGCATACCTCATTTTATTGTGCTTTAACTGTACTTTGCAGATATCGCGACCTTTACAAATTGTAGCTTTATAGCAAACCTGCCATCCAGCAAGCCTATCAACTCTTTTTCCAACAGCTTTGCTGACTTTACATCTCTGTGTTGCATTTTGGTAATTCTTGAAGTATTTCATCTTTTTCGTCATTTTTGTATTTGTTATGGTGGTCTGTGATCAGTGATTTGTGTTGCTATCGTAATTATCCTGGGGTGCCAGGAACCATGCCTATATAAGACTGCAAACTAAGTGATAACTATTGTGTGATCTGACTTCTCTACCTACTGGTCATTCCCCTATCTCTCTCCCTCTCCTTGGACCTCCCTATTCCCTCTGAGACAACAGCTAATTAATAATCCTGCAATGGCCTCTAAGTGTTCAAGTGAAAGAAACGGTATTATGTCTCTCACTTTAAATCAAAAGTTAGAAATGATTAAGCTTACTGAGAAAGGCATGTCAAAAGCTGAGATAAGATGAAAGCCTTTTACACGAGTTAGGCAAGTTATGAATGCAAAGGAAAAGTTCTGCAAGGAAATTAAAAGTGCTGCTCACTGAAAACAAAACAATAAGAAAGCAAAACAGCTTCATTGTTGATATAGAGGAAGGGTTTTTAATTTTTAATTTTATTTGAGAGAGAGTCAGCCCAAGCAGGGGAGAGGGGCAGAAGGTAAGAGAGAGGGAAAGAGGGAGAAAGGCAGGCAGAAAGAGAGAGAGACAGAGAGAGAGAGAGAGAGAGAGAGAGAGAGAGAATCTTATGCAGGCTCCACACTCAGCACAGAGCCCAATACAGGGCTCAATCATGAGCTCAATGCTCAACCAACTGAGCCACCCAGACACCCCAATATAGATAAAGCTTTAGTTATCAGGATAAAGATCAAACCAAACACACCGTTTCCTTAATCCAAACCCTAACCCAGAGCAAGACCCTAATTCTCTTCTATGAGGGTTGACAGAGGGGAGAAAGCTGCAGAGTAAAAGTCTGAAACTAGCAGCAATTGGTTCATGAGGTTTGAGGAAAAGGCATCTCCATAGCATGAAAGTGTAAGATGAAGCATCAAGAGCTGATGGAGAAACTGAAGCAAGTTAGAAGACCTAGCTAAGATACTTAATGAAGGTGGCTACATTAAAGCAATTTTCAAGGTAGAAGATTGGAAGATGCCATATAGAACTTTCAAACCTAGAGAGCTTCAGAACTTCAAAGTTTCAAAGGACAGGCTGACTCACTTGTTAGGCGCTAATGTAGGTGATGACTTTAAGTTGAAGCCGCTGCTCATTTACCATTCCACAAATCCTAAGGGCCCTTAAGAATTATGCTACTTCTGGGGCGCCTGTGTGGTTCAGTAGGTTGAGCATCCGACTTTGGCTCATGTCATGATCTAGCAGTCGGTGGGCTCAAGCCCCGTGTCGGGCTCTGTGCTGACAGCTCAGAGCCTGGAGCCTGCTTTGGATTCCGTCTCTCTCTGTCTCTCTCATTCTCTCTCTGCCCCTCCCCCACTCACACTCTGTCTCTCTCGGTCTCAAAAATAAATAAACTATTAAAAGAATTATGCTACTTCTACTCTGCCTGTGCTCCATAAATGGAGTAAGAAAGATTGGCTGATGGCACATCTGTTTACACCACAGTTTAATGAATATTTTAAACCCACTATTGAGACCCCTGGCTCAGGAAAGAAGATCCCTCTCAAAACATTACTGCTCATTGACAAATGCAGCTGGTCAGTCACACAAAGGCTCTGATGAAGATTATGGGATTAATGTCTTCATGCCTACTAACACCACATCCATTCTGCAGCCTGTGGATCAAGAAGTCATTTTGACTTTCAAGTCATTGTATTTAAGAAATACATTTCATACATAAGTGTAGCACTGCCATAGCCAATGATTCCTCTGATATCGTGGCAGAGTAAATTGAAAACCTAGAAAGCATTCGCCATTCTACATGCCATCAAGAACATTCATGGGAATGATTCATGGGAAGATGTCAAAATGCCAACATTAACAGGAGTTTGGAAGACACTGATTCCAAACTTCATGGATGACTTTGAGGGATTCAGGACTTCAGTGGAGGAAGTCACTGCAGATGTGGTGCAAACAGCAAGAAGACCAGAATTATAAGGGGAGCCTAAAGATGCAGTGCTGCAACGCATGATAAAACTTAAACAGATGAGGAGCGGATTCTTACAGGAGAGCAAAAGAATATGGTTTCTTGAGATGGAACCTATTCCTGGTGAAGATACTATGAAGACTGCTGAAATGGGATAGTGATTATTAGAGATAAAATGGGTATATAAAAAATAATCTAGAATGAGGCAGAAAAGTAAGAAACAATAAACAGACGGAGCAAACACCAAGATGACAGATTTAAACCCAATTATATTAATAACAATGAATATAAATGGTGTAAGCTTTCCAATTAAAAGACAGAAATTGTCAGACTGCACAAAAAAACAACACTCAAATATATATTGTCTACTAACTACAATTACCTTTAAAAAACACAGCATAGGTTAAAATAAAAGGAAGGTGGGAGTGGGAGGAGGTGTCTGGGTAGCTCAGTCAGTTAAGCGTCTAACTTCCGCTCAGGTCATGATCTTGGAGTCGGTGAGTCTGAGCCCTGTGTTGGGCTCTGTGCTGACAGCTCAGAGCCTAGAACCTGCTTCAGATTCTGTTTCCTTCTCTCTCTACCCCACCCCCATTTGTGCGTGCACTCTCTCTTAAAAATAAACATAAATAAAATAAAAAAATAAAATACAGGAAAGCCCAGATGGCTCAATTGGTTAAGTGTTAGACTCCTGGTTTCAGCCCAGGTCATGATCTCATGGTTCATGGCTTCGAGCCCCACACTGGTAGTGCAAAGCCTGCTTAAGATTCTGCCTCCCTCTCTCTCTGCCTCTCCCCTGCTTGCTCTCTCTCTCTCTCTCTTCCTCAAAATAAATAAACATTTAAAAATAAATGAATAAATAAAGTGAAAGGAAAGAAAAAGATATACCACAGAAATGTTAATCGTAAGAAAGCTGGATGACTATATTTATATCAAACAAAATAGATTCCTGATTAGATCATGGACTTGAAAAAATACATTCGTATGACAACTGAAAAACTTTGAATGAGGTCTGTAGATTAATTAAAAGTTTTGTAACAATATCAATTTCCTGGTTTAATAATTGTACTCCAGTTAACATCTGGAGAAACTGAGTGAAAGATATTTAAGAATTATCTGTGTAAATTTTGCAAGTTTTATATAGTCTGTAATTATTACAAATTGAGAAGTTAAAAATATTTAAAAAAATAAAATCTCTGTCCTTTGAAAGACACTAATAACAAAGTAAAAAGGCTGAGAGAATATTCACAATACTTATATTCGAGGAAATACGCTGATCTTATATATAACCTAATCAATATCATGTGTACACCAATGTGTACCTAGGTTAAGTTTATGCTAAACATCTACATATTCATTAAATCATTTATAAATATTTAGCAGAGACCATTTCTATTTTATAAAGAAACTGAGACTTAGATAAAATATTTATTTAAAGTCAAATACAGTTGAACAATGTGAGGGGTTAGGAGCATTTACCCCCTTTCAGTCAAAACTCTGTCTAGAACTTTGACTCTACCAAAACTTAACTACCAATATCCTACTATTGACCAAAAGCCTTATCAATAACATAAACAGTCAACTGACATATACTTTGTATGTTATATGCATGATATACTCTATTGTTACAATAAAGTGGGCCAGAGAATAGAAAACGTTATTAAGAAAACCATAAGGAAGAGAAAATACATTTTACAATACTGTTCTGTATTTATAGAAAAAAAAGCAGTGTATAAGTAGACCTGTGCAGTCAAACTCAGGTTATTCAAGGGTCAACTATAGATAAAAGTGACAAACTGGGATTGAACCTAAGTCTACCTGACTCCAGTGCTTGGGCTCTTTACTGTTTTGACATTTTATCTCCAGTTATGCTTTATATGCTATATATATAGCTTTCCATTATTTGTATAGATCAAAGAACACTATAATGGTTCTCCTTATAGCTGAGTTAGTAGGTCTTAGGTATGGTAACCGAGAACATAGTTGCAAGCACAAGTAAAGTATTAGACTCTACAGAATAGCATTCCTATAAAGTATAGCTATCCAATATTAAAAAGAATTCTGGGAACTGAGGGCTATTGGTCCCAAATAATTTACTCTAATTTCATTCCCTAATCAGTCCAAAAGCTCCACAGTTACTACAAATCACCAAAAGGAGAACCTCACTTTCTCTTTTTAGTTTTTTATTTTTCTCTGTACAATTCTTTTGACTCTTAAAGTTTCATACATTTCCTTGACTCCCTTCCCTAGGAATCTGCTAACATGGATTTCATTTCCTCAAAATCATTTTGTTAACTTTTTGAAATGTATAGTAATAAAGTAATGGTAGAATTGTTATTATACTAAATTGAGTAAAATTATCTACTTTAATAATTGACAAAAAGAAAATATTCACTAATTGACTATCTTGTTTAAGAATATATACAATATTTATATTTGAGCAAAATATTGATATTTGTGGAGGGAGTACAGCAATTTTCACCTTACCTGAAATCACATGCTGTAGTAAATTCGGCTCCTCCACCCAATGCCCGACCCTGAATCAGTGCAATACTTATTAAAGGGAGTCTGTTTATTGGAGGAAAAAGGAAAAATGGATGTTAATATTTTTCACTTCAATATTAATTTATAAATGTTATTTTTACAAAACCTGAACTACAGTAGAAACAAATTATTGAGCTATGTTTAATAACACACCTCAAAGGATAGTGGAACTGTGAGCCTGTATATCATGAGGAATAAAACAGTCTAATTCTTTTTTTTTTTTTTTTAATATTTTTATTTATTTCTAGGAGAGAGAGAGAGACAGCGTGAGCAGGGGAGGGTCAGAGAGAGAGGGAGTCACAGACTGAAACAGGCTCCAGGCTCCGAGCTGGCAGACAGCACAGAGCCCGACATGGGGCTCAAACCCACGAACCGCAAGATCATGACCCAAGCGAAAGTCGGACGCTTAACAGACTAAGCCACCCAGGCGCCCCAAAACAGTCTAATTCTTAAAAAATAATTATTCATACTAAATGCTATGTAAGTTTATCACACTACCTCCCTGAATATATTTTGAGATTTAACTATATTTTTATATATATTACATATATGTAATATAAATATAATTTATAAAGTATATGATATATACTATACATGATATATATACTTTATATTTTTTGTACATTATTATATTTTTTAACTATATATTGTGACTTTCTTCCAAATGAATTTTAAATGTAACATATAGCTCCCACAACTTCCCAGCAGCTGGCAGTCAGGAATAATTCAATGGGATCACATCTTACTGCATTTGAGTTGATGGCAAGTTTTACATGGCAAAATTGAGAGTATATCCAAAGGGAGAAAATATGGCAGAAAAGACTGAGCTCCAAAATTATATTATAAAGATTCTTATCAAAAGTCTTTTTATTACTCATTGAATGATCAATATCTAATCCTATGGAAACAAATGGGTCTGTGGTAAAAAGAAATCTCTTCACCTTTTCTGTTTGCAAAGAACCACTTCTGAGGAGTCTGTATTACAAGGTATATCTAAAATGCCTTGAAAGTATGGAATATGCTGTAGGTTGTAACCAAAATGCAAAGGTGTAGGCCTCAAGAAATGGGAAATTTATTAACACATTCTGCTTCCAAATAAAAAGGATTAAAAAAATTTTATGATTTCTCTAGGAAAAATTCAAATAATAGGGAAGGGAAGGTGAAGTAGAACAAAAACTAAGAAAAAAAGTATTTTAGAATAATATTTTGATTCTATTATTCTTTGTAGGCTCTTATATATGAAGAGCACCAAATACAGATTGATGCCCAACTAGTAAGTATGCTAAATGACATGAATTTCCTTAGTTTTTATAATTTTTAAATTATTTACATTTGGAATACAGAAGTAGAAAGCTAATTAGCCAAAATGTCATAGTTTGTAACCCCAAATGCAGTGATAAGCCAAGAAGAATTTTCTCCTTTTTTTCTTCATCTAGATGAAAAGTAAATCCATTTTCCTCAGAAATCTGTAAAAGCCTTCACCAATCATAGGTATTTTTCTCTCACCTCTGGATATAGACCACTTTATAATACATTCTACTAATTTTGAATATGAGGCAACATTTATGTGTCATTTCCTGCAGTGTCCTTATTCTCCTCTAATATCAGTGTTTAACTTTCCCATGGCAATGCCTACACGTAGCTAGTAATATAAGCTCTTCAGGAAAAGTGCTGTCTTAAATTCTTTTTATCTCTCCCTTCTCTTATCTTTTAAATGCCTGTGCATACTTCACCAACATTTAACTAAATGACTCTCCTTGATGGCACAAATAAATAGTTCATCACTAAAATGAACATAATTTGAAAATCAGGTATTTTTTAACTGGTGCAAACAGAACAAATAAGAGTTATTTTGTTTTTTTAAGAAATCATATCTTAAAGAGAAAGATACATTACCTCATAAATCTTGTTAAGGTGTTCTGCATGAACATACATAAAGCCATTCCATCCTTTAAATAAGAATAAGCATAAACACAAATGTATAATGTAAATGTATTATATAAGAAATATTTAAAAAAATTTTCAGGATTTAGAAAGCAACAAAGCCAAAAATATACCCAACTTTTTAAAATGAGGTTTTCATTTAACACTCTTTGATGTTGTCAGAAATGCAAATGATGTATTTGATTTTGTTGACCTTCTAGGACTCCTTGAGCTCTGCATGAGATATTAGCAAAGACTAGGGCATGAGTCATATTACACACCTCAGAAGAATGTGAAGGTCTACTGAGGGTAATTTGGGGGAAAGAAGTAGAAGATACTATAGGATACCTGTTATCCCAAATTCTGATCTCCTAAGAATATAAACATATAAAAAACAAATTTCTTAAATGTACAGTTGACCCTTGAACAACACAGGTTTGAATGGCATGGGTCCACTTACATGTGGATTTTTTATAGTCTAGTATTGTAAATATGCATTCTCTTCCTTATGATTTTCTTTTTCTCTTTTTATCCGAGAGAGAGAGAGAGAGAGAGAGAGAGAGAGAGCGCATGCCCAAGCGGGGTGAGGGGGAAAAGGCAGAGGGAAAGAGAGACAGAATCTGAAAGCAGAATCCACATTCAACTCAAGCAGGCTCCACACTCAGCACGGAGCCCAATCCCACAACCTTAGGATCATGACCTGAGCCAAAAACAAGAGTCAGATGCTCAACCAATTGAGCCACCACCCAGGTGCCCCATTATAATTTTCCCAATAACACTTTTCTTCTGTAACTTACTTTATTGTAAGAATACAGTATATAATAAATATAACACAGAAAATATGTGTTCATCTACTGCTTATGTTATCAGTAAGACTTCCCACTCAACATTAAGATATTAGAAGTTAAGTTAGGGAGTCAGAAGTTATATGCAGATTTTCAACTGCACAGAGGTTGGTTGCCCTAACCTCTCAAAAGGCATCCCTCAAAAGTTTATAATAATCTTCTGTTTGCTAAATGGCTTTTCCTTATCCTTATCTTCCTGTCTCCGTAACACATAGTAGCTTGCTTTGACCAATTTCTGTATTTTGAAATCTTCTTTTAGTTCCTAGCAATATTTCCCACTCCTGATTCTCTTCCTATTTCTTTGATTTTTCCTTTTCAGTTTTCTTACTCATTTAGCTAATCCAGTAAATGCATGTACTCCCCAAAATCAAATCCATAATTCTCTTTCTGTTCTTTATCTACTATTTCTTCCTTGGAAGTCTCATTTATCCTGAATGCTTCAGCTAGTGTCTTCAGGTAGACTCCTAAAACCTCCTAGAAAATCCACATTCTGCCAAGACCTCAAATTCAGCATGGCAAAACAAATTGGGAACGAAAGAGTGGAGTTTGAATCCTCGTGTTACTGCTTATTAATAACATGAACTCAAGTAAGTCTTAGCTGTGAAGTGAGTTTCCTCATCCATAAGGAAGGAAGGAAAAATTAAAAAAACCTGTTGTATTTAACTCAAAGGATGGTTGGAAAAATGACCTGGATACTCTGTAAAACATCACAAAAGTTTAAGTGAGGTCTAAGTTAAGAGAAAAAGATCTTCTAATCAATAAGGCTCAAATTTTTGTTGTTTTCTTTGATTCTTCCATTTCACAGTTCACCCACAATTAGTTACCAAGCACATCCTTTGAAACATTTACAATATAAATCCTTTCTTTTTCTATTTGCACTGCTGCTACACTAGCTCAGACTTGTTATTCATACTTAAATTATTGTTAACAGTCTTGTTTCCTAACTAGTCTCTCTGTATTTAATTTATTTCTCCTCTATAATATACCTTGCCTCATCATCCTTTCTACAGAATAATGATTTAGATCACCAACAGAATAAAGTCTAAATTCCTTGGGAAGAACTGACCTCACCTGACTCCAAAATATTTTTACTAAATTTACTGAGTACCATACCCCTCCATCCAAGCATCCTAATTTCAGCCATAACAAACTATCTGCCATTCTTTTAACATAAGTCTTTACTCACATCATTCCCACTATTTGGAATAGCCTCTCCTTGTCTCTACCTATTTCAAGTAATGCCCAGATCAACTAATTTTTCCATCAAGATATTCTAAATCCCACAGAAACAGTTTTCTCATTTGTGTTTCTGTGGTATTTTTATTTTTGTGACTTAACTGTAGTATAGATTGGCTTGTATTCATTGCAATTTGGACCCATTATTAGACACAATTAGGTATACAAGACAGAAGCTAGGGAACACAAGTGGAATCCACATGGTCCCAGTTCCTAGTCCTCAAAAATTTTATAAGAGATAGAGAAATGCAACATGCATCAAAGTACATTATATTACACAAAGTATTTTAAGAAATGTTTGAACTGAGAACAGTGCCAAATAAGAAGCAATTCATTTCAACTGGGTTAGGGTAATTGGGATGGATTTATACAGGAGAAAGGGAGATGGCATTTGCTACACCTACATAGTAAGTCTTTAGAGGTTGACAATATGCCTTCTTTAGGGGTACCTAGGTGGCTTGGTTAGTTCCAAGCATCCATCTCTTAATACTGGCCCGGGTCATGATCTCACAGTTCGTGAGTTTGTGTCCTGCGTCAGGCTCTGCACTGACAGCATAGAGCCTGCTTTGGATTCTCTCTTTCCTTTTCTCTCTCCTCCTCTCCTGCCTGCACATGCATGCCCTCTCTTTCTCTCTCCTCTCTCTCTCAAAATAAACTTTAAAAATAAAAATGCTTTCTTTATCCTCAGAAGCTAATACAATGTTTTGGGTATAATACTCTATTTGCTTTTGAAGTTAACTAAATCAGATGAATTTTGGGTGGAGAACTATGTTAATTTATAAAACATGCAGTCAATGAAAGGTAAAAACCAACATAAATTAGATATAAATTTCCTAACTGAAAGCTTTTCTCACAAAAGTCAATCTATTATTATAAAGTGATGAGAAAATTAACATAAGCACAAAGAATTAAGACAGTTTAAAACTAGACTAACTTTATATTCTATTAAAAACCTGTGGGGTGCCTGGGTGGCTCAGTCGGTTAAGCATCCCACTTTGGCTCAGGTCATGATCTCATAGTTCGTGGGTTCGAGCCTGGAGTCTCCTTCAGATTTTGTCTCTCCCTCTCTCTACCCTTTCCCTGCTAGCACTCTCTCTCTCTCAAAAATAAACATTAAAAATTTTTTAATAAAACATTTTTTTAAAAATCTGTGCCATAGGGCCTGTTAAATTATCTTTATAAAGTAACTTTAATAGGCCTATTTTCTTTTCTCTTTTTTTTTTTTTTCTTATTTTTGAGAGAGTGAGAGAGCATGCAAGTGAACAAGAAACTGGGGGGGGGGGGGGAGAGTGTGGAGCCCAAAGCAGGGACCAAGCTCATGGATGTAGGGCCTGAACTCACGAACCACAAGATCACAACTTGAGCCAAGGTCAGATGCTTAACCAACTGAGCCACCCAGGTGTCCCAATAGGTCTATTTTGTTATTACTAGACTTAGAGTATGAAAAATTCTGACAGAAGTAACTAGAATTGGTAAGAATGAAAATGAAACAAGTATTGGGGTGCCTGGGTGGCTCAGTCAGTTAAGCCTCCAACTTCGGCTCAGGTCACGATCTCATGATTTGTGGGTTCGAGCCCTGCGTCGGGCTCTGTGCTGACTGCCAGCTCAGAGCCTGGAGCCTGTTTCAGATTCTGTATATCCCTCTCTCTCTAGCTCTCCCCTGCTCATGCTGTCTCTCTCTTTCTCTCTCTCTCTCTCAGAAATAAAACATTAAAAAAAATTTTTTTAAAGAAACTGAAACAAATATTAAACTATGTACTGTTATAATTCTTTCAAAGATAAGTCACACTAAAAGTGCTTAAAAGCAACATAAGACAATGGTCAATAATACAGATTCTAGAGCTGAACTGCCTAGGTTGAATCTGGACTCTTCTGCTTACTAGCTAGGTTGACTGTGGGTGTGATACTTAACCTCCCTGTGCTTCAGTCTCTTTACCTTAATAATAGCACCTATCTCATTAGGGGAGTTAAGTAATTACTAAATAAGTTTCACATGTAAAGAGCTTAGTGACTGATATAGTAATAGAACAAAAATGTTATCTAGCACTGTTAATTTTTAAAAATTATTTTAGGGGCGCCAGGGTGGCTCAGTCGGTTAAGCGTCCGACTTCGGCTCAGGTCATGATCTCACGGTTCGTGGGTTCGAGCCCCGTGTTGGGCTCTGTGCTGACAGCTAGCTCAGAGCCTGGAGGCTGTTTCAGATTCTGTGTCTCCCTCTCTCTGACCCTCCCTTGCTCATGCTCTGTCTCTGTCTCAAAAAATAAAAGAACTATAAAAAAAATTTTTTTGAGAGACAGCATGAGCAGGGGAGAGGGGCAGAGGGATGGAAAGAGAAGGAGGGAGGGAGAGAGGGAGGAAGGGGGGGGAGAGAGGGAGAGAGAGAGGGAGAGGGAGAGAGAGAGAGAGAGAGAGAGAGAGAGGGAGAATCTCAAGCAGGCTCCACACTCAGCACAGAGCCCTACACAGGGGTTGATCCCACGACCCAAGGATCATGACCTAAGCCAAAACCAAGAGTAAGATGCTAAACCCACTGAGCAACCCCAGTGCCCCAGCACTGGTATTATTAATATCAGTAACAGCATTGGCAATCAGATAATGAGTATGTTCTGGCTTTAATGTATCATAAAGTAGTGATTATATTGTACTAGCCCACATGACATGACCTAGGGAGAAAGAAGATTAGATTTGTCCCCCAAAGCCACTGAGCCCAAAACGACATAATGCTCAGGCCCTTTCCTGGGCTGTGGGAAGAAAATGAGCCAATGAGAGATACACCCAGCATGTGACAGAATAAGCTGAGGAAAAGAAACCAATGAAAGGCTAGACCTGTTCTCATAAATGAAGGCCAGAACCAGGGAAGTAACCAAAGGAGGTTCTGAGACCTACTGCAGACTGATATTTTCATCCCAGCTAAATGATACCCTGAGTCCTAAACCCACTCCTCTAGCTCTTACTAGAACAACAAAGATGCAAAGCACAATGCTCAGCCAAGATGCCAACAGGAAATATTAATGTCATTTTACTCTAAGTCACATTTACCCTGAGTGGAAAAAGGCCCAGCCTGTAAAAGTATCTTATCCTAGAACCATAAATGAACCTCTCTCTTTTTTTCCCTGAGTGCTCGTTGTATGGATATATTAATTTCCTCAAAATACATAGGCAGGTTTAGAGAAAAATAGAATAACTGGTCTATAAATTAATGAGGCTAAAAGGCAACTCTACAATAGTAGTAGCAAAAGCAAAGAAGTCAGACAAGAACTTTGAGGTCTCCGTAGAAACTTAAGCAGCAGAAAAATAAGAGGTAACAGATTGACAGAAAAGTAAAAGAAAGGTCAAGGAGCAAAAAAGAATATTATCTTTCAGCTAAATTAAGAGTACAAAGGTTTCTAAAATACCAGACTTTTCCTCGAGGCACTAAACCCACTCACTGCAGAATAAGTAGGTTTATTTTTCAGTATCTTGAAGATTATAATTGGATTTTGATGATTTCTGCCTTTTGAAAAGAGACTTCTGGTAGTCGAGAGAACATCTGTGACAAAAGTTCAAGTCTTATAATGGGTTAATAGTTACATTAGATTTTTTTTTCCTATTTTATTCTTTTCTCTGTCCCTTAAGTTTTCAGGGCTAATGCTTGTGTTATGCTAATCCATCTCCCTGCCTCAACTTTCTCAATCAAGGACTGACTGACTAATAGGGACAGTTGAAGCTCTTTTTGTACCCATTAAACAAAAAAATACGAGAATGAAACCAACTTCTTAAGATACTACATTTTTTTAAAAGCAGGATGATAAACAAAATGTTAATGGTTATTGATGCCATTATGAGTACATGAAGGTTTTAGAGTATTAATCTACCTCTATTTATATTTGGTAAATTTCACAAATATTTTTTAAACCTTGAAAAAAATACACTGACAAAAACATCAACATATATATATATTAAAACCCATTCAATAATCACTTTCAAGTATCTCATTATAATCAGAAGGACTGTAATCCAATTACTAAAATCATCCTCTATTCTAGTTATCTCATCATCCTGAGAAAAGCACACACTAGTGATACATCTATAACAACAAAATGTTAAGTGTATTAGATTAAGAGAAAGGCTGTTAATGAATGAATGTTAAGAGCCTCAGATCTCAGCTCTAAGGGACATGCATTTATATGTGCAGCTGCAACTCATACAGATATATGAGCCTCAAAAGTCCTGAGGCCATTTTAAATCTCAGTTTTAAACATATTTATTCTTCTTTCTCAGGCATATAGAAACACAATCCATACAAGAAATGGAAACAGTTATCAAGTACTTTATACGTACTGTTTCTAGTTCTTGTTAGTTTTAAGAGGATCATGTGACTAATATACCCCATACTTTAAACATATTACTATTTCTTAAAATTAGCCATAAAGAGAATTTTACCCAAATTGCTTATTTGTATGCTATGTATATACTATGACTAGAGAGATTTCATAACAGTATAATAAAGAATCTCTCTACTCAGAAAAATGCTTTAAATAAAATAAGGCATTTTCAGTACAACCTGGGTTCTAAGCATACACACCATAAAGCAGAATCACAATGCCAGATTTTGAGGAGACTGGCAGATGTGCATAACTCACATGATGGATCCCTGCAGTGCTAGTTAAGCAATAAAGCCATACCACCCTAGTTCTCAGCTGGTGACCAAAAGCCAATTCTGCTTTACTGCCTGCATTCAAGACAGTAGACTACTTGTGGAATATCCAAATGGAAAGAATAAACCTTATTAAGTGATCCCTTATCTGAAGCCCAAAAAATATATATGAAACAATCTACTTTTAGCTTTTATGTGTATAGAACATAAGAACTCCTGGCCATGTGATTTAAAGAGACAGAAACAACATCTTAACTAGAAGAAAGCAAAATAACCTTTTACTCTTTGAGGAATGTTTTCCTACCCAACTTACATCAGACCCCAAATAATCTATTATCTCATTCTATCTTTATAATGTCTTTCATGAATAAATAAGGTACCTAGGAATTCAATCACTCCAGAGATGAAAAGTGATAATTAAAAGACTTGTAGGTCATATAGCTAATTATGAGATGACCTTGGGCAAGAATCCATATATTCAAATCTCCGGCTTAGTGCTCTAACCATATGAACGCATCACAAACTTAAGTCTAATAGTGCTACAAATTATGGATCATCTCATTGTGTCCTAATATCAAGATCTTTGAAATAAAAATAATAGCTACCTTTTTCAAACACCATCCTAATAGGCACTTTCTATATATGTCTTGAATCTTTACAATAGTTCTGCAAAATACAGAATTCTAATTTATAGATTAGGAAAATAAGATTTAGGAAGATTAAGTGATTTTCCCGAACACTTACCCAGAAGGTGTTGAAACCAGCATTCAAATCCAAGTCTTATCAAAATCACCAAAAGATAGCTTTTTCCTCACATTTTTATGTAAATACTGATCATATACTATACAGAGCAGTAGGAGTTGTAAAATATCATTAAAACATTATTACCTATATACAGCCCACATCTATAATTAAATGGCAATGAATACTTAAATTTTTCCTTTTCCTTCCTTTAACCCCCCCCCCTTTTTTTTTTTTTTTTTTGCCTAGAGGATATGGGTGGAAGTTCCTAGGTTCCTTGGAGGATAATGGAAAATAATTAATAATGGAAGATGATTAGGATTCGTTTTATTAGCATAGTTCAAAAGCAAATGTTTTAATTGTTACCATATGTTGAAGCCTAGTATGTGCCAAAGCTTTTCTGGGTCCTTTATATATGTCCCTCATATAAAATTCCTCATCATGAAATGCTAAGGGTCTTCCACTTAAAAGAATTCAAACTCTTGCTGGTTTTAATGGGCTTTAGTGATTGCTAACCTTCTTGCCCTTCCTTTTCTTCCCCTCCATTACTTCACAATATTCAACCTAATCTATAAGAAAACCAAAACCTCTGATCCTTGGAAGCCTCTTATTATGATGATTATTATTATGATAGCTATTATCATAATAACCATATGTAAGACATAAACATCTCAGCCATAAATATCTGACACACATGTGGAATTTAGGGCACAATTCATAGAATACTTGCCTCTGGAGATGCTAGTGCTTTCACAGCATTCAGATCAGATCCTGAGGAGAAAGTATTTTTTGCCCCTCGTACAATGAGACCTTTCCCCTCTGTCCAATTTTCCAATTCAATCACTTTTTCCAGAAGTTGTAGCATCATAACTCCTGCCACAGAGAAGAGGGGGAATCAAAGCACATTAAGATACCAGAAAAATAGAAATAATTTAGAAAGCATCAGGCGTCAAACAGGACTCTTAGATCCTACATTTTACAAATATTTACTGAATATCTATCAAATGTCTATTGTGCTGGTACCATGGGGTATACACAGAAGGGGTATACTTGATAACCCCTGCTTTTGAAGTTTACAGTATGTTAGTAATCTTTCTCTTTCTCTCTCTGTCTGAACTAAGAAATCACACAAATACATGGCTAGGTAGAAAATGAGAATACATCATACATGTCCTAGGAATAAAAAAATTAGAATAAATAAGGGGTATGGTGGTAAGAAAAAGTTATTCCTTAGGGTCAAAATCAAATATAGACCTGACTTCACAGTAGTAGGCACTGTCCTAGTCAACAAGCTCAACAAGCATTATAAAATTAACAAGCTCATAACAAGAGTTATGCCTGTATTCCTAACTCAATTATAGTTCTGCCCCAGAAGACTGAGATCTTACAATCTATTGCGTATATGGTATACAAAACAAAGTATGGTATTCCTACTCTACTCACATGAGAACTACTATAATAGATGTTAGTTCAGGAAAGGGACAGTACATATCATCTTGTTCCACAGATGACAGACTATGCTCTGAGGAGCCCAAGGCATACTATGAACGTACTTCATGGGCTGCCAATAAGATGCCTACCATCAATACTATGATTTATAGATTAAATTTTTACCTTGATATCATTCCAAAATTCTATTGGAGTTTCTTTATAAGGAACAAATTTAAAATGGAAATAGGAGGGACTATAATTCTTATCTGTAGTGGTCTTCCAAGTTCTAAAGTTCATAATGCTGTCAACATGATTAAGTTTACTCTTTGTAAGAAAATATTTTAGATGCCAATATAAAAATCATAACAGAAGGTTAAAACTGGCAAAGAATCTGTATCACAAGGCTCGAAAACTTACTTTATGGGCTCCATTAAACTATGTATACTATTTTGGAATACAAACCCCACGATGTCAAAAACTTACTTTCTTTGCCACTTTCTGAAATAACCAGTAATAAAGTAGTTCCACAATAAATTTTAATGTTATTGATTCACAAGTAGATTCCACATGTTTAGAAAGTTAGAATCCTTTCTAACTGCTAATTATGACCTGACTAATATAGTAGCCCTTCGCAAGGATGTCCTAGGTGTTTTATAAATATAGTTCTTGCTCTCAAAATGTATACAGTCCAGTAGCATTTTACAAAAATAAAATAAAATAAAATAAAAATAAGTAATTTTTTAAAAAGCAGTCATTTAGCACAAGAATCAATCTATATAGGTAAATATGGACCTTCAATCATCCCTAATATTTAAGCTTCTAAAAAAATAATGCTGGCCTTAAGTATGAGACATCCATACCAGTAGTTAACCTTGAACTCATCTTTTTGATTCTGGTAAACTAAGCATAAATGTTAGAAGGAACCTTAAAGAGTAGCTGGTTGGGTAATTTTCAAACCAGATTGAGGTTGTGTGGTGTGGGACTCACTCATCTTCTCCCAGATTAAGTCAACCAAACACCATTACTCAAATCAAAGCATCTCTGTTTGTATTTATTTTCAACATCAGCCATCAAATTAGTATTTGTTTCCATTTGAATAAAAATCTTTACTAATATAAATTATTTGTGGCTATTCAGTAGTAAATTAAATTATTAACCTAGTCTAATTTTCTAGAGCAGTCTTTTCTAATTTTACTTTTCCTAGGCTAATATTATAATTGGCTTTTATTCTCTGAACCAACTGAAGGTATGGAGTTGCATGGTCCAGTAACGTAGCCACCATCCGTATCTAACTACAAAGCACACGAAATGTAGCTAGTCTAAGCTGAGATGTGCATGTATGTGTAAAATACACACCAGATTTCAAAAACCTGGTATGGAAAAAAGGGAAAACAACATATAAATAATTTTTCATATGAGTCACATGTTGAAATATTTTTGAATATACTAGGACAATAAAGTACAGTATTAAAACTAATTTTACCTGTTTCCTTTTACTTTTTAAAAATATGGCTCCTAGAAGATTTTAATTTACATATGTGGTTCACATTTGTGTTTATATTATACTTCTACTGGATAACACTGAGAGAGAGAGAGAGACATCTCTGAATTATGCTAAGAGAAAAGTCATCTTGTGTTTTAAAGACCCACCATTAATCACTTACAAAGTTTACAGTCTACTGAAATAGGTATGAAAACTTATTGAGAAATTTTTAAGCTCCGTACTTCAAATGCTACAAAATATAATTTACCCTCCAGGAAGTGCATAACGAACAAACAGAAAGTGCCAAAGTCACCTTGACTGGGGAGTCAGCAAGATTATTTATCAGGTCTTGTAACCATCAGTAACCATCCACAAAGTACATCACTGACAAACTGCCAAAACTATGGTGAAATAGGGAGGAGTGCTAGACAGTCAGCAGTGTTACTCATTCAGCTCTTGCAGAACATTATAACATTATAATAGCATAATTCAAATTTGAGCTTTGGCACAAAATTACAAATTATCACCTCCTAGACTTTCAGCTCCCTTCAATAGGAAATTCTTAAATGCACAAGAATGCTGCCTGGCAAATAGAAGGTATTTACCAGTATCTAAGAGTCAAGAAAGAGGCAACACATTGGCAAGTGTAAGATTAATTTCAAAGTTTCCTTTTTAACAACATCTGTATTCATTTATTTTTTTTTAAAGATTAAAATATTCACAGTTAGTAAAACATGTTCCTGGTTCAAGTGATGGTTTTGGGTTTTCTGTGTGAGTGTGTATGTTCCAAGAGTACTACAACTTTCAAGAATTCTGTCACTGGAGATAAAAGTCACGTGATAGCAGCTAAGATTTACTGTCATTCTTTAGCAAAAGAAAGATCTCTATACCTGAGAAGGCATTCATTTTACTTGGATTGTTCAGGGTAAGAATGCCAATGCCACTATCTTCCTTCTGAAGGTCAACGGATCCACCAGGAAACTGCTCAAGTATTTTTTTTACTTCTTCCTCATGGAAGCCATGGGATGTACTGTAAAGTGACAAGCCCGTTTGATGTAGTAATTTTGTCCTCACATTTAAAGATGGTGTCATCAAAAGATTTCTTGCCATTTCTGGAAAACAGAGAAGCATGCAGTAGGCCAGATGAATACTTTTCCAATATTATTATGTTAATAGGTTTTAGGGACAGACCTTTCTATTTAATTGGGAGAACTTTCCCACTTCTAAAAGCACTCTGAGGAGATGGTCGATATGGAAATCCTTCCATTTAGCCTCCTTCTCAAACCAAATAATTCACAAAGTCTATCATTTCAGTATATCATTGAGAGATAATGATATCATTGTAGTGCATATACTGGGACCCAATAATCTAGGAAGATTTAGAAAAATGTTGCTATTCTTTGTTTAGTACCATCTCCTGCCTTCTAATAAGTCTTTTTCATGATAGTAATTCTTCTTCCTCCAACTCTTTAACTTTGCAAAATCTAAGAATAAATTGTCCAATGTCTCCTTGGAAACAGTCTCTACACAGAAATGCTACAAGAGGAATCCCATTCTCTAAGAGAAGTTTCATTCTTAGCATTATCCTTACCTTTTGCAATGCTTTCACAGGAAAAACTGAGGAAAATGGGGAAAGAAATGGGAATGTGTGCTTGGTTTCTGTGTTCCTCAGCATTCTGTCACTCTTCTCACTTTATATATACATCCTGGGCAATCTCACCTCAGCCCATAGGTTTTTTTTGCCCTATTTAAGCATTTTTGTTGATCTAAGACATACATTCAGAATATAAGATACAGCTCAAATCATTAAGTGTCATAAGGTAAAAACACTTAATAATACCCAGACCAAGAAACAGAACATGAAGCTCAGAAGGTCTGTTATGTCCTCTCTCAGTTAGAACTCCAAATAAAGATAACAACTATCCTGACTTCTAATACCCTAGATTCGTTTGCCTATTTTTGAATTTTATATATATTAAACAGTATATATTCTTTTGTGCCTGGTTTCAACTCTGTTTGTGACATCCAATATTATTATGTGTATTTAGAGTCTCAATAGTCCATTCCTCTCTTTGTATTTTATATGAATACACCACAATTTATCTATTCTAATGTATATGTTCTGTTGGCTAGAAATAAAAATGGAATTATTTGGTTGGGCTGCAGCTGACTTATACTGATATAAGTATATATACACTGCAATAAAATTATTGGGCAGATAGCCTGGGTGGCTAAGTCGGTTAAGCCTCCAACTTCAGCTCAGGTCATGATCTTGATCGGGTCATGATCTTGCACTGTGGGTTTGAGCCTCACATCAGACTCTGTGCTGTCAGCTCAGAGCCTGAAGCCTGCTTCGGATCCTGTGTCCCTCTCTCTTCCCCTCCCTGACTTGCACTCTGTCTCTCTCTAACATAAATAAACATTAAAAAATTTTTTTTAATTATTGGGCAGATAGAATTACATGCAATGAGACAGTCTCTAAATGTTGATAATTAGTACCACAGACATGAACAATAAATCATTTAATTATAAACAAATGATTCATTTGAAATAAATAATTTTCCTGCAAATATTAACTGAAAGGTATTCGGCATATTTATCTTATTCCTTTCCCTTGCATAGCGCCATTCTCAAAATTTAAACCTGGTTCAAAGGCATAGTTCCCTGCTTTTCCAGAGAAGAGTAAAACTTCTATCCATGGAAAAGAGGTGCCTCTAAAATTATGGTCCCTGATTATCTAGTATCACTAGAAAATGAGCTATTCTGGTCAAATAAACTATCCCTTTAACTGATAGCAAAAATGTCCCGGGCAAGGAGAAATCCGTCTGTTGAAAGAATTCTTGATCTCAAGTACACAGAACTGTAATGTTAAATATTTCAATTACTTTTAAGATATTTCCATTTGTTTTTAGGGATTTCACATTCCTAATCATATATCTCAAATATACACCCCTAGAAGTACAAATCCATGTACACATTTTCAAAGATATTGATAAAACTTTAAATAAGGTGGCTTTTCATAACTTGAGCATGAAACTGAAAGGGAAATAAAGAAGTAAAGGTGGAAAATTTAGGTCTATGGGATGTGGAAGTGGGGGGGAGAAGCTTCAAAAATAAAATGTCATTACTGAGAAGTATAAAGTAGTTATGAAGAAATGCAAGAATTTTAGAGGCTTCCTAGGTTATCACCCAATGTAAATGTCAATTTGCCTCAAGATCTCTTGAACTGGCAAAAAAAAAACCCTACATTAAAAATCTCAGAAGTGGCAAACCATGAGAGACTCTTGAATGCTGACAAAAACTGAGGACTGATGGATGTGGGGGGGAGGGGGGGATGGGCATGAAGGAGGGCACTTTGGGGATGAGCACTGAGTGTTATGTAGAACCTAATTTGACAATAAACTATTTGTAAAAAAAAAAATAAATAAATAAAAATAAAAAAATAAAAAAATAAAAAAAAAAATAAAAATCTCAGAAGTTATTAAGAATGACAAGCAATGAGGCTTGAAAGTAATTAGGTAATGGAACCAGTATTTTCAGGACAAGTTGTACTTCTGTTCATAAGCTCCAGCCATGTGAATAACCTTCTCATCCCCAAATGATAAGGGACAGAAACAGAAAAATGCTCACCTTTAGCCCAGAAGGCTTACCTATAGCCTGCATAGTTCTGATAAAGATCAAATATGCACGAATTGCTATATTCTTCTGGAGTCTCATAACTGCCTGTATGTCTCACCCACAGTTAGTAACAAACTGAATGATAAGCAACAGAGAACTCTTGTTAACGTAGTTTTGAATAGAAATCAGACATTTATGACCTCATACTCCCTATATGCCCCCTCCTTCTTGAGCATTAAGCATATAACTACACCAGCTTCATACAGCAAAAGTGTAACACTTTCTGCCTATGGGTCTTGCCCTCATGGTATTTAAATATAAGTTGCACCATTACAACATCTCAAGAATTCTTTCTTGATCATTATGCTAGATGACTCTGCAACACCTACCACTGTTATTTCTCACCTCCCCTCACCTCTTTCTCACCTCACTACCCTTAGACTTAAGTTCAGGGGCAAAGTCCATAGGAAAAATTAGGAAAATATACCAAAACGCATCATTCAAAGTGAGTTGCAAGGAGAAGAGCTATCTTCCAGCAATTCACTCAAAGGACCAAGACACAAGGAAAATGGTAAGGCCCTGGCTATATGTTCTCTAGCACTACATGTTCTCTAGCACTACATGTTCTCTAGGCATTTTAGAAAACATGGAGTTGTTCCTTTGGCCACACACACACAAATCTACAGGAAAGGTGATGTTGTACGCATCAAGATACTGGGTGCTATGCAAAAAGAACACCCCATAAATGTTACCATGGCAAAACTGGAAGTCTACAATGTTACCCAGCATGCTGTTGGCATTACTGTAAACAAACAAGTTAAGGGCAAGATTCTTGCCAAAAGGATTTATGTACTGAGCACACTAACCACTCAAAACCCAAAATAGCATGTAAAGAAAAATAATCAGAAAAAGAAAGACACCAAAGAGAAAGGTAATTGGGTTCAACTCAAGGGCCAGCCTGCTCCACCAGGGAAGCACATTTTGTGAGAACCAGTGGAAAGGAGCCTGAGCTGCTGGAAGCTATTCTCTATGAATTCATGGCATGGTAAGTGTGGGGGGCGGGAAAAAATCTCAAGAATGCAAAAGAAAACAAGAGTTGTTAAGCGTTCTTTGCTTTTCTAAAGACAAGTTTTGACAAGATTAGCAATGAAGATATTTGAAAACAGGATAGTATTCTTTATTAGATTATTTAAAGTAGATAAGTGCATTCTAAGAAATTAAAAAAAGGTTGAGGGGCGCATAAAGCATGTGACTCTCAATCTTAGGGTCATGAGGTCAAGCCCCACAATGGGTATGGAGCCTACTCCTAAAAAAAAAAAAAAAAAAGTGGTGGAGGGTAATTGAATAGTTTCTTTGCATAAGGGCCATTAAGGAAAGCACACTCATGTGCAGGTTTTTATGGCCAAGAAATTCCCAGACTGGGGATGCCTGGCTGACTTGGTCGGAAGAGCATGCAACTCTTGATCTCGGGTTTCAGGTTGTGAGTTCAAGCCCCAATGTTGGTTGGAGAGATTACTTAAATAAAAACCTAAGGGACACCTGGGTGGCTTAGTCAGTTGAATATCCAGCTCTTGGTTTCAGCTCAGGTCATGATCTCAGTTCATGGGATAGAGCCCCACGCCATGCACTGCAATGACAGCATGGAGCCTGCTTGAGATTCTCTCTCTCCCTCCCTCTTTCTCTGTCCCTCCCCTGCACATGGACAGGACTCTGTTTCTCTCTCAAAATAAATAAGTAAACTCAAAAAGAAAAGTTAATAACCATCTTTTGAATATATTTGGCATATCTATACAAGAGAATACATTTCAGCAATAAAAAAAAGAACAATGTATATGATACACACAGCAACATGGATGAATTTCAAAATATTATTCTAATGTTTTGAAGGATATTTTTCCTCCCGGATATTTTTTCACTACATTCTAAGTTTTAAAATTCTAAGCAGAAGCACAGCAAAAATCAGGCAATATCTCAATTCTGCTCAGGAGTAACCAAAAGAAAACATTAAAACAGCTTTTCTTTGTAGTGCCTTATGGCCAAAATATTGGCAAAGAGAGCCACCTTTAAAATACTCTCACCTTATGTATTTTCAGAATATCATTTCTTCCAAAGATTATGTTGCTGCTAAACAATTAGCATAAAAATTGTCTAGTTCAACTTCTCTCCAGAAAACAAATCCAGAAAAAAAACAAAAAAGGGCTCACATTTCATAGTTAAAGCTTACCTTTTTTCAAATTCTGAAACACAAAAGTTCTCAACCAAAGTTGTCACTCTCTACTTTTGCTCCAAATACATATACATTTTTAAATGAATTATCAGCTTATAAAAACCTTTAAAACTTGAGACATTATTTCATGAAACTCCATAGATAGAAACACAAGCCTTCTGAATGGGCAAGAACATATTTTATATACAGACTATCTGATTAAATCAAGTATTTATGAGATGGTTATGAAATTGTGCAGCACTTCTGTTCATCTATTACTTCCATAAAAGATTGCTTTTTGTTTCCTGATTTGAAATTCAAGTTGTATTACAGTTGGCGAGAGTAAAACTAAATGAAAACATTAAAAATGAAGAAAGCTACTGCCTGAGTCACCTAATACACACTAAAAAAGTTAGGTCTCAGAACATGGGTTTTTTCTTAACCTAAGTAATGGATACACAGGTATCCATCTTCTGTTGTGGTTCTTTAAACCCTTTTTTAGCATTTTTCACTATATGTATGTATGCTACATTTCTCAATAAACTTTATTAACTAAAGGATATCATTCCAAACTTTGGGGGCTGTCTCTGCCTTCACCAGTAATCTCTCCCAATCTTCTAAATTGCCAATTTCAAAACTAGTTTCTTAAATATTTTATTTCTTTACATAGAAGGTATTCAACAAAGAACACAAGTATTGCATCAGTGGCCACATAGATGTATCTGGTCTCTGGCAGGTTCGGCAACTAAGAAAGAGTCCTTATTAAAGGTGGTGATATTTCTTAAAAGTCAATGTATAACCAGAAACTATGTGATAAAGAATTAGAAATGCAGCACCTGCCTCCAGTAAGTCAAAAAAATTCTTATGGGCAAGACTGCATCTTATTCATAGCTTTTAGCACACAGAGTTTTACATTCAATATTTGTGGAACTAAATGACCCCTAATGTGGTTATTACTGTGTAGGGATGACAGCATCTAACCAACATTTCCTAAACTAAATATAAGATCTGTATCTGCAAAATAGAAAAAGTTTATTTTACTGTTGGGTTTCTAGGAAATGCAAGTCCAGGATATGCAGCTACACCTGTGGGTATGATTTTCTTTTCATGTTTACAAAATGGGTTTGCATACAACACAATTTCTATTGTTTCATTAATAAAAATATTAATACTTTTTAATAAATGAAGGTAGGTAATAAATAATAAGACATCATTCTATCAATAGTATGTGCAGTTGGTAATACATATCTTACAAGGAGCTGGTAATAGTCTCCTTTCTTTAACTATAGAACAAGATTTCTCGCACAAGAGGATTCTTAAGGCAGGCTTAGCCTGTTACATTCTCTAACTTTCTCAGGATGAGAGGCAATTTACCCAGTGACACTGAGGTTAATAATACCTAGTAACTGTTAGTGGCAAAACTTAAATAGGGAACCCGAGATTTGATCTATTTTGCCTCACCTTCCCTTTTTCACCTTCCAAAGGAGGACATTGGTTTTCAGTGTACTATAGCCCTGTGTACTAGGCAACAAAGTGATACTATTTGCCCTGGGACTGCTATTTTGGATTTGGTTACTTCTAGTCTCCCTTCTTTCACTTGAGCTCCCCCTCTCGCTTGCTCTCTCTCTCTCTCCCCCTAAATGGCTTGTGTGATAAAAGGAACCTGGGGCTGCCTTTATCTTGTCTCACTTGAAGAAGATCCAATACAGAAAGGCTCAGGGTTCTTTGGGCCTGCCTCCAGTCTAGGGAAAATAAGCAGGTAAGATCACCTGTCAGGTCAGTTCACAAAACTGAAAGACCTACCTAAGAGAATCAAACACAAGGTACCCAGTTTGCTGTATGCATGTTTTGCCCCTGGAAATGTCAGACACACAATAGAAACCCAACAGCAAATTCAACTGAGGCAGAGGTCCTGATCTTTTCCCTATTTACCATGACTTCGGAATTTAAAAAAGTGCCCCAGAAACTTGATAAGGACTTCAAATGGCTATTTTCAAAAACTAAATTTGCCTGTGTTTTCCACAATATTCTGTTTACGGAAAAGAACAAAGAGTTAAACTAGAAAATCATTTTTACAAAATCATCAGCATTTTAATTATTCTTGTGGGATAATAAAATCAATAAACAATGTATCTTCTCTTGTAAGCAGCCTGTTCTATCCTCATACATTACCTCTCCAATATTCAAAACATAAAGGCAATTATTATAGATGCCATCATATCTATTATCTCCTTATCTTTAAATCATTACAAAATTAAGTATACATATTCCTGTCCCTCTTCCACTCCTAACTCTCCCTTCTTTTCTCTCCTCTCTTCACATTCCCTTGTCTGGGCCACAGAAGAGGACCACAAAAACTCAAGGGCACTTCCTTAAGTCTACTAGGTTTGCTGACCTCAAGTTTAGAAATTCTATTTTAGAAATTTGGTAATAGCCTATTATGTATACGTCATCCCAATTCTAAATTCTACGAACAAATCAGACAAGAGTTCAGTGCTAAGGAGATGATAAAGTATCAGCCACTATTAAACTACTACAATGTCTGAAAGCATGTTAACAAACAAGGGTTGCAATTTAGGTTCTGTGTAAAGTACATAGTTAAACAGTCAGAATTTTAGATCTATTCCAGAATCATAGGCAAGGAAAAAGTTCTGAGGAATTTACAATTTTATAAACTTTGGTATGACAAAACATGTTTAAAATTTGTGGTACAGGATACTTTACTGTCCTTCCAAGTTAGACCAGCTGAATGAGCTCATAACCAAGCCACCGGAAAAGGGAAAGAGAAGAAAGCTCTCTGACACCTGAGATCAAACCTGTCATTCTCTCCAATTTTTTTTTTAAGTTCTGCAAAGGATCAAATAGTTCCCCTCCCTGCACAGGAAATAAGCTAGCTTTTCTCTTAAAAGCCGTACGTAACCCGTTTGACCATATACTAGATTTACTAAATACACAAAATTAACACAGATGCATACTTAAGAAGACAATTAGCCTGATGCAGGTGGTAAACAACAAAAGAGTCAGAAAGATTCTATTTTAGACTGTCCAAATAGGATTTGTTTTTCAAGTTTTGGTTTTGCTTTAGACTATTATTATATAACCTACCTTTTGAGCTTTATTACATTCCACCATACACACCCCTCTTCCTCATACAGTCAAAATGAACTTTTTAGTTTCTCAAATCCTTCAGGTTTTTTCTCTTCATTCATCATCTCTGTATATGGGATCCCTCACCTGTTATACTTTTCTCTTCCTCAGAGTAACTCCCAAGTCATCTCCTTTAATACTTTAGGCTACATAAAATTCCCTTACTTTTTCCTTGCACAGCATTTATATTCTTTATTTACCCCCACGTAATTACTTGTTTGCCTGAATCTTGCCACGGGATTTTGAAAAGGAAGAAGGCTTTGCAATGCCTAGAACAGTGTTTGACAAATAATATAAAACAATAATAATCTGGCATACAAGTATTAAGAATCCATAATGCCTTAGGAGGCTTAAGAATTTGTCAGCAAAAGAACTCTCCATTTTGTTCATTACTTCCGTCACTCACCCTGTTTCAATTCCATTACTCTTTGCAAGCTGGTTTCTCTTCCTGGAATGCAACTGACTACTAACTACTACTCTTAAAGGTCAGGCAATGAAATGCCTAGAAAGAATCAGTTTTATTGCTATGCTCCTCCCTCTCCCAGTAGATTTCACAACTACATCTTCCCCCAAAGCTTATTTCCTCCAATAGAGTGCAAGGTCTTCACAGAAGGGATCCTCTGTTATTCTCGCCCGTGTCCAGTTTATCTCTGTATCTCTAGCACCTAGAGCAACAGTTGGTAAACAGGAGGTTCTCAAAAGCAGGGAAAAGAAAGGGGTGTGGGTGGGGAGTCGATACACTTTTTTTTCCTCAGGGTCCCATAAGCCCTTTAAACACGTAATTTAAGTAATCGGTAGTTTTAATCCCCTATATTTGCGATCCTTGTGTGTGGTGTAGCATTAAAAGGATCATCGAAGCTCGAAGTATTTAATTCTATTTAATTACAATTAAAGAACCCTTCCCAAAAATGATGTGGACATTTTTCTGTTGTTATTGAAAAGTCGGCTGCACGAAACAATGTCTTAACTAAGCAAAATAATTTACTGCACAGACAGGACAAATTCAGAAGTCCTAGAGAACATCACCTACCCAGCACATGGCCTGAAAAGTACTTAGAATTTAAACTAGTGCTTTGAACTCCCGTCTCCCTATTCTTTTGAAAACGCTAATGCTACTTCGCCACATCCCTTAGAAAAGTTTCAGTCTTCTCCCAGTGCCCTCCTTCACCTCGCAAAGGCCGTCAATGGCGCTCGGCACTGCGTCCCCACGCCCAGCAGGGACCTCCGCGATGGGAAGGCAATGGACCTCCGCGATGGCGTCACTAGGAACGCGCCGCTGAGCCCGGGCGGGTCCCCGCTTGTAATTCGTATGGAGAAGCTTTAACGTTAAAGTCTATTACAGAGCGACAAGCTAGAGTCCTCTCCTAGATGACACTTAAAAGCGCAGCCCCGACAGCCACGCCGTCAAACACTGCGCGAGTTTGACACAACTTCCCCTTCCGCTATCCCCGAGACCCTCTTCCGCTTTCCGGTCCCTTCATCCGCACCCCCTCGACCCTTTTCCTCTTGCCGGAGCCTCCTTTTGGTTCCGCCTCAGGCACTCCCCTTCCCGCAGTCCTCCGACCTCGTCTCGTCCCCTCTTCCGCATCCCTTCTCTCTCACGCGCGCCTTTTTGCATTCTCCTGCGGGAGAATCGCGGGAGAATCCCGGAAGTCCCGCCCCGCCAGGAGCGCCCCATTTTCCCCGCGCCGCGGCGGGCCTGAGCGCCCCTCAGATCCTGTGCGAGCCGGAGGCTAATGGAACTGCGGCGCGTTTTCTGTTCCGAGACACGGCGTTAAGGGTTGATGCAGCCAAGCCTGCAAACTCCACTTATTTTCAGTTTGTGTAGACGTGGGAAGAGTGGAGGGGGAAGAAAACCAGTTTAGGGAATTTGGAAAGAGAAGGGAAGACGGAGGAAGGTACCAAAAGGTGTTAATTCTTAAACATCTTTTATGCGTTATTGAGCGGGAAAGTATTTCCGTTCTTTCTTTCTTTTTTTTTTTTTTTTTACAAGTCCTCAACATATGCCCTGCTCGTGACATGGTTTTCATAAAGCTCAACAAGCTTAGAATTCTGTGCCATTACCTGTCCTATGGCGCAGACAGGATGTGCTTTGGAGGACAGCTGAAAAGGAATGTCATTTTTCACCAAAATAAGGATCATTTTGTCAAAGAGGAGGAACTGAAGGTAGATCTTAGTAAACAAGGGAACAGTCTGCTGAAAGGAGTAGAATAGGCCAAGAAGCAGAGAAGATAAGTTTTAAGGTATGGAGATATGGAAGTAAGGATGAAGTGGGAACCCAGGTTTGGGCCGATGGGAGGAAGTCCAAATATTGAAAGTATTTAATTCCAGTTTAATATGAAATGAGCGAGTTAAGCCATTACACTTTGTTGAACAGGAAATTTGTTTGATTAAATGGTGATTTGGAAGAAATAGTTTGTAGAGCGGGAATTATTAGATAATATACTGTTTATGCCATAAATGTGTATGTGGTACTGTATATGGGTCTACGGTAGGGCAGCCTTCCAAGGCCAGCAGCTGTGGCCAAGAGGTTTGGCCTTTGGACGTTTTTGTATAGATTCGCTGATGGTATCTTTGTTAAGTTAGAACAAGTGTGCTTTGAGGGATGATACCATCTCATGCCTTCTCTTTTTGCCAAGCATTTACTCACTTGCCATTTCTCAGAATTTACCAGGTTGAGATAGAATGATTTAAAGTTTTGTTTTAATTATTTTTTACATTTATTTATTTCTGAGAGACAGAGTGTGAGTAGGGGAGAGGCAGAGAGAGAAGGAGACACAGAATCCCACGCAGGCTCCAGTCTCTGAGCAAGCGCTCAGCACAGAGCCAGACATGGGCTTGAACCCACGAACCATGAGATTATGACCTGAGCTGAAGTTAGACACTCAACTGACTGAAACAACCAGGCACCCCAATGATTTAAAGTTTTTAAACTTTGGGAATTTGGAGGCGGGAGAAAAGGTTGGCAACTAGTGAAGATTCAAGTAAGTTGACATAAAAAGATGACATTTATGCATTTTCAGTACCTATGACTAATATGCTAACAAATAAACCAATAGGGGGAAAACCTGTCATGAGATGACTGATAGGATGGGATAGAATTCTAACCCCTGCCTGAAGACTCCCTTTTGGGTTTTTTCCCCACCCCACTTGTCCCTGCCAACAGACTATAAATTGTCTCCTTTGCTTATGCTCCCGTCTCAGACCTCTGGAATCTCCTCCGAGCTCACCGGTGTAAAATAAGCCTCCTGCCTTCCAAGATCTCCGAGTGCCACTTGGTTCTTCTGCTGAGTGATTCAGACCAGGCTCTGTAACATTTGGTTCCCTGACCAGGAAACCCAAACACACTGTCCCATTGTTGCCACTGGTTTGGGAAAAGGGCCAGGCGGTAACGAAATGAGGAAACGCAAAGGAGATGCATGCCCTGCCTGATTGTAGGCAGTCTCCCACTGGTCACCTTAGGCTGGCCCTGCTCCACCATTCCCACCGGACTTTAGGAGACTTGGCAGGTGAGGACCTGGACCCAACTTTGGATACCAAGAAAGCCTAGGACCCCAATTCAGTCCGGCCCACCCATAGTGGTGGAAGGGGGACCTGATCACTCCCCAGAGATTTCAGAGGTCTCTCTGTTAGGGACCCCCATCTGTCTGGCCCACCGATAGTGGTGGAAATTGGACCCCGTCACTCCCCGGAGACCGCAGTCGTCTCACAGGTGGAAATTCCGTGAGAGGAAATGTAATAATCTCTGCTGTAAGTGTGAATGTGCGTCTCCGTCTGGCTTGCCTGCTGAGTTCGATTCTGTGGCTCCACAGGCAGGCACGCTTAAAGTCCCCAAAAGCCCATGGCATCTGAGTGGGCCCATCTGCGATTCTGTGGTGAGCAGCATACAGTCTATAGCAGCATCAGAATAGTTTCCAATTGTAAGTCGCAAAGCTGAGACAGCTACAGCTAAGCGTCACCTAAGTTCCTTTGAGACATGGCCAGACAGGCACCTGACTGGTCTCCTCATCAGAGGGGGCACCCCTACTCCTCTCTGTCTTTGTGACTCCATCTCACGGGAACTTTATGGGATTGGGAAATGAGCAAAAAAGGGGTTTTCAGAAGACTATGGAATTAAAATGACCTCCGGCAAATTGGTGTAGGATAGCCCTCAGAGGGAACCTTAGGTGTCCCAACCATCTGCTGCATCTGGCATGTTGTTGCCAGAGACCCAGATTACCCTGATCAGTTACTGTATATCAGCTCCTGGTTAGCAGTTGCCCAAACCCTTCCCCCTTGGGTGCAATTTACCTGCAACAAACAGACAGGCTAGGGTCTTAGTTGCCTTGACATAGTGGCCCAAGGAAGATCAACAGAAGTCCCAACCTCTACAGATTTCTTGCTGGTGATCTGGAGAAAGAACCAATCTTGCCCCCACTGTTGCACATGAATTTAGCCTCAGTCCTTCCATCTTACCCAGAGTTTACCTTCTGGGCCTGCACTCAGAGGGCTACATTAACTATCCTCAGGTGCAAGGAAAAAAACCACGTAAGAAGACAAGGGTTAATGTTCCCTGTTAATGATTATTTATGACACAGTTTGTGTACTTTGTCCTTGAGATAATGGCTATTCCCTTAAAACTCCCCAAAACCCTAAACCTTGCCTTCAAAATAACAAAATAACCCTTCCTACATACCAGGGTAAGGGCCGCTCTCTTTATCACTTTGTAGGCTTTTTTACAATAACCACTCAATTCTGCTTCTGTACTGCCCCCTTGCCTGCTTGCTCGTTAGAAAAAGCCCTAAGTCCTTGGACTCAGCCGTACATTTAGAGTTCTGTGTTAACTCGGTGCGGTCCTGGCCTTTAATAAAGACTCCCTTAATTTGACTTCAGTGGTCTCAGTTGGTCTCTCTGTCTTTTGGCATAACACCACCATATGAACCCCCCAGTTCCCGATACTCCACTACCTTTGGTCTCCCCAACACCTCTTGCCTGGGCAGATCCTCTCTTTCCTGAACCAGCAGCCAGATTGCCCCCTCAGCCAGACACAGGCGCTCTATAGATGTCGGTTCACAGCCTCCAGTAGCAAGAGGCTCTCCTCCAGGTATCCAACCAGGGGCTAAGAAGCCCATAAATAGGCCCAGCAGCAAGGGGAATCCCCCTGGGATTATTATGTGAGGCTATGCAAAGCTATGTGAGCCTTACACACCATTTAACGCCGAGACAAGAGAGCCATGACAAAAGGACGAGGAAGGTCCAGCTCCCCGAAGAGGGAAGGCCCAGAACCTCCCTCGCAAGGGGTCAATGAGCCTACTGCAAGGAGAAAAGTTATTAAAAGAATAAATGTTCCAACTGGGGAAAATCCCAGAAACCCAGAAATAAGAGCAAAAACCCTGCAAAAAAGACCTCATAGACCTAGCAGGAACAGATTCAGATTGAGGGGGACCAGGCTCACTTCTTCCTAGCCCCCATGAGCCCACAGTCAAAATAAAAGTAGGGGGCCAAACTCTGACTTTTATGTAAACTTGGGGGCCACACAGTACGGCATGAGTTCTACCCACCTGAGTGCTCTATCCCTGTACTTGGCTGGGATGTACTCTCAAAGCTGGGGGCCCAAATAACCTTTGAGCAAATGGGAGGCACCAGTCTCCAATTACTTCTTTTTAATTTTTAAAAATGTTTTATTTATTTCTGAGGGAGAGAGAGACAGCGTGAGCAGGGGAGGGTCAAAGAGAGAATGAGACAAGGAATCTGAAACAGGCTCCAGGCTCTGAGCCTGATGGGGGACTTGAACCCACGAACCGCGAGATCATGACCTGAGCCGAAGTCAGAAGCTTAGCCAACTGAGCCACCTAGGTGCCCCTCCCACTAGCCTCCAATGAAATTAAAAAATGGAGGCTATTCTGCACCCAAGCCCAACTGAGTGGCCCACCTGAATTCAGGACTGCCTTCCCCACTGTATGGGCCAAGCACAGCCCCTGAGGACTTGCCCACAACTGGGCCCCTGTCATTGTAGAGTTAATCCCAGGGGCTCAACTGCAGAGATAGCACCTCCCAAAAGAGGCAAGAGCAGGCATCCAAGAAAGCAAACATTCTGGTTGAATGCCAATCACCCTGGAACACCCTGCTCTTGCCAATCAAGAAGCCGGTAGGAGGGTATCCACCAGTTCAAGTTCCTTGCATCCAGGGGTCCCAAACCCATATACCCTCCTCAGCCAGATTCCAGGCTTTGCTAGATGGTATAACTGCCTAGACTTAAAGGATGTCTTCTGCTTCCTTCTCCCCCTCCCCCGATGCAACCCTTGTTTGCCTTCAAATGGATGGAACCAGACACAGGGCATCAAAAAAAATTTGCCTGGCCACTTTGGGGAGTCACTGGTGAGAGACCTCGTTGGCTTTCCACACACTTTACCACACACTTTACCCTTTGCCAGCATGT